ATACCTGGACAAACACACATTCATACCGGATCGCCTCTCCACAGATTTGGCCTGGTGGTGCCCCCTGCTTGTTTCCACGGAGACAGACAAGTTTAATGCCATACCATGTAACACTAAGCAAAGAAATGTCATCTCTATAGTAACAAGCAGCTGTCAGGTCCACCACAAGAAAAGTTACACAATGCACCTTAAATGTTGTTGCACACTGCTACGATTTAACTATAAACTGATGGTACAGTGTTCTCTTGTGCGTATCTATGGAGATGTAAATGCTTTGCCTGCAATGTCCCGCAGCATGGCTTTAAACATACTGTATCTATGTCCAGGTTATCCCAGTCAGGCTAAATTACAGGAACCCCATTCGCTGTAAGCCTACTTTTCCCCCAAGCAGTAAAACATGTATAATTTATTTACTGCAAGATAGACACTTTGCTATACTGTGGAACATTCCGAGCCAAGCACAGCCTAACATCTCCATGGAGACAACCATGTGGCAGAAAAGTTACATAGTGGACCTTTTACATATGTCATTTGTACCAGGTTTTTCATGCTGCTGCTAATTTTTTTATAATGAAAATGGTCTGATCTGGCTGGATGGTCCGGATTGTATCCATGGAGATGTTAATGCATTCCCCAAAATGTTTCACAACATGGCATTATTATATCTCTTTCCAGGCGATGCCAGTCAGTTACAGGAACCTCATTCGCCATAAAAATAGCCTAGTTTTACTTTATTTTATTTCAAGCAGATAAGTTGCCATAGGATATCGAGGAACATTCCAAGCCAAGCATAGCCTACATCATCTCCATGGAGACAACCAGGTGACAGAAAAGTTACACAGTGCACCTTTAACCTGTGTCATTTGCACCAGCTTTTTCATGCTGCTGCTAAATGTGCCACAGTATGGCATTAAATATGTCTGTCTCCTGGTGAGTTATAGGAACTCCATTCACAGTAAGAATGGCCTAATGTAATTTTATTCATTTCTTTTGTGTAAAAATACCTGTGGAACATTCCAAGCCAACATCTCCATGGAGACAACCAAGTGGCAGAAAAGTTACATAGTGTACCTTTACCCTATATCATTTGTGCCGTTTTTTTCATGCTGCTGTTCCAATTAACTATGAAAATGTGTTTTTATCTATGGTGATATGGTTACTGCTTTGCCCGAAATGTTCCACAGCATGGCATTAAACATATCTGTTGCCTGGAGATGCCATCAGTTACAGGAACCAAACTTGTAGTAAGAATGGCCTACTACTGTGGAACATTCCAAGCCAATCATAGCCTACATCATCTCCATGGAGACAACCGAGTGGCAGAAAAGTTACACAGTACATCTTTAACTCATGCTGCTACTAAATGTTCCACAGTATGGCATTAAACATACATAATCTCTCTCCTGGTGAGTTACAGGAACCCCACTCACAGTAAGAATGGCCTAATTTTATTTTATTCATTTCTTTCGTGTAAACATACCTATAATTTACTCACTGCAAGACAGACACGTCGCCATACGGTGGAACATTCCAAGCCAACATCTCCATGGAGACAACCAAGTGGCAGAAAAGTTACACAGTGTACCACTACCCATTCATTTGTAGCAGCTTTTTCGTGCATCACAAACTGTCACTGTGCACAAATACCGTTAAATCCACGTTTTTTTCATGCTGCTGTTCCAGTTAACTATGAAAATGTGTTTTTATCTATGGCGATAGGGTTACTGCTTTGCCTGAGATGTTCCACAGCATGGCATTAAGCATATCTGTATCCCGGCAATGCCATCAGTTACAGTAATCACACTAACAATGGCCTAATTTATTTAAAAAAGTAAATAAATAAATAGTATATACCTATAATTTACTTACTGCAAGATAGACACGTTAGCACACTGTGGAACATTCCGAGGCAAGCATAGCCTAACATCTCCATGGTGACAACCAGGTGACAGAAAAGTTACACAGTGCACCTTTACCCTATGTCATTTGCACCAGCTTTTTCATGCTGCTGCTAATTAACTATAAAAATGTGTTTGTATCTATGGCGATACGGCTACTACTTTGCCTGAAATGTTCCACAGCATGGCATTAAGCATATCTGTATCCCGGCGATACCATCAGTTACAGTAACCCCACTCGCAAGGGCCTAATTTATAATAAATAAATAAATAAATAAGTAAATAATGTATACCTATAATTTACGTATTGCAAGATAGACACGTTGGCATACTGTGGAACATTCCGAGCCAAGCATAGCCTAACATCTCCATGGCGACAACCAGGTGACAGAAAAGTTACACAGTGTACCTTTACCCAGTGTCATTTGTAGCAGCTTTTTCGCGCACCCCAAACTGTCACCGTGCACAAATACCGTTAAAGAGAGACACCGTAAATACAATTACCGCCAGTACCGGAGGCGGGGGGGGGGACAGCGCCACAGCAGCCCGCATACAGGCTCCATCCCTCGGCCACTCACCTCGCTCCTCCCCGGCTCCCTGCAGTCAGCCTCGCCCGGTGCTTTGGGGGGTGCGCTCGGCGGCTCGGGACAGCTCCAGGGATGCGGATCACGGAGGAGAGTGGGGGGGAGAGGAAAGGGCCGCGTGGAGCTCCCGTGGTGTCTTCAGGCTCCAGCGGAACCGGGTCTGGTCCAGGCAGGTTCGGAGGGGGGCAGGTCGGGGGAGGAGAGCAGAGGAGGGTCCGGTGGGTTCGTCCGCCGCCGCCGCCGCCGCCTCCGTTATTGCTGCTGCGCTCTGACGTCATGGAGGAAAGCCCCGGTGCGTGACGTCAGGGCGCAGACGGTGAACGTGAAACAAAGCCCCGCCCCCCTTTTACGGTAACTATGGCTCGGACGGAAAGCGACCGGTAAATGTAAACAACAACAAATTAAATTAAAGTTATACTAAATGCATTATAGCGGATCAATGAGTTAATAAATAAAGCGAGATTAAAAAAAATAATAATAAAAAATGATTATAAAATATTGACTTCGTTATTTATTTATTTTTTTGATTTCTGCTAATAATAATAATAATAATTTGCTTGCATAAATATAGATGGATAATTAATTATAAATTGCTGTATTGTTTAAAACAGTTAAAATGTTTTTAAAGGTGATCCCAAAATTCTGGAAAATTAAGTCAACATAATATATTTTATATATTGATTAACTTACAGGCAGACTTAAATGCTAATATTTTTTATGACATTATAACAAAAAATAAGCAATAGTTTTCTCACAATTTTATTTACTTTGCTTCTCTGTTCACAAGGATGGAAAAAAAAGTCTAACCCTAAAATAGTACTTGGGCTTCACAGAAAGTATAATTTATGACGAAATGTGGAATATATCTGTAGATGAAGTGAAAAAACGTTCTACGCTGTAAGGATTTGTCCAGTTAAACCTTAAAATGTGGATTTTGCCTTTATAAAAATTTGTCTAGTATCTATCATAAACTCTTGTCAAATAAACAAATTATGTAAAACACAATTGTAAGTGTTTTTCTGATATCATGCACATGTATCTGAGTGGTTTTCATTTTCCAAATTGTCACTACATTTTTTATATTTTGTGATAATCTGAAATTAATCCCAATTTTCCATTAAAATCACATTATGTTTCACTTCACTTTTGCCTCCAGCTGCCTCCATTCCCAAATTTAGAATGGTTTTGTTTACAATTTTTCAAAGAGTCTATAAATTATTTTTTTGTCTTTTAAAAAACACACTTTCCTAATATGAGTATGAGCGGGCTTGCCTCATCACAGATCTGACCTGAAACTGCGATTTGGAACATTCCAGGTCAAGCCATGCAGGGAGGCACGGATAAAAGTTACATAATGCATCGTCAATACTCGGCTATTCTTAAAATACACATATTATCAGCCTATGTAAACAATTTTAGACACATATCACTGTCATATTGTAACACACGATTGTTCCAAATATACCAACTATTCGCTTTTATGTAGAAATTCCCACTTGCTTCCATTTTACAAAGAAGTTTAAATGTTTAACTCTGGGCATATACATAAATTATGATACTTAGTTCGCGCTGTAGTACTTTGCTGTATTGTTACTGATTTGATTGCTGTATTTATGAATATGAACTGGTTTCAAGATGATGCTCTGACAAAAGAATAAAGAGTAGGCATAATTACGGTAACTCGAGCTTCAGCCTACACCTTTTCAGTCTGTTTATGTTAAATATGACTGTCTGATTAATTTATATTCTGACATTATTCCACAATCAAGTTCTGACTACAAAACCACAATGGAAACTAAAAACAGCATCTCCAACTTCATTATTAAAGGGCTGATATTGCACTTTTTCTGATCAATGTTGTGTTGTTTCTTCATCACAAACATACGTGGAGTTGTATTTTGTTTCATTCACACGTTTAACTCACAAACCCTGCACATTTTGATTCTTTTCTCACACTGAAAACACCGTTCCTCCTTGTGATTCATTAAGGAATACAGGAAATGCTCCACTGTGTTTTTAAACTCCATACACCTTCACAAGAATCATTTAGATTTCAGCTTTGGATTTACCTAAAGGTACAGCAACTGGAATTCTTTTCACTCATATTACAGACTTTCTAATGCCAATATCAGCTGTAAAAAAGGTAAAATAAAAGCATATATTAAAAAAAAGCAACAAGTTAATTGTATTCTAGAGTACTGAAGAGTAAAATCGATCAACAGAGGCCAAAAAATAGCTGGAAAACGAGAAAACTACCACTAAACCACTACATCACAAGATAAAACAGAGCATTTTGAGCTGTGGAGATGTGGACAGACTAATTATCCTGGATTACTCAAACATGTGTGAATGCAACAAAACAACTCCAGGTAGATTTTTGGTGAGGTAACAACATTTTAACATGGCTAAAAGTTCACACAAGTCAGTTCTGCACAATATCAGACCTTTAAACGGAGCAAGTTTCATTGTCAGCTCCATTAACTTATAACCCGAAGACTTAACAAATACCAGACATGAGTTGTAATAGAAAAGCATTATTTATTTGAGGAGAACGTTTCAAGACAGCTGTAGTGATGCTGGTATAATGGACAGTCAATAGAAAATGTGGTCACATTATTAGAGACTCGCAGTAAATCAAACACGCTTTTTGTAAACTATGAGGATTCTGTGTGACTTTTTGTGGATTCTCTCCCTCCGTCTGTCTGTCCATCTCTGAGTCCAGGTCTGATCCAGGTCTGATCCAGATCCAAGTCCAGTCCCGGGAGCAGCTCTGGACTCAATTTGCTGAAACAAAAAAGGAGGGAGGAGAGGAGGAGAGAGGGAGGGAGAGAGAAGGTCAATATTAGGTTTTCACTAGTATTTTCAGATGACAATCTAGGTTGATTTGAATGGAGGCAGGCAAAGTAACTACAGTTTTTATGTAAACTTGGGGTGTGGTTTGATAAATATAGCAAGATTATTTTCTAATAATCGCATTTCCAAATCAGGCTTGACATTTGTACATTTTATTTCCTTTTGAAAATCCCTCATAATTGATGTCACCTCCCGCATTCAAGAAACTTTTTCACATTTTACCAGTTTGAAAAAAGACAATATTGTTCACTTAAGTTGAAGATTATAATAACACTAGTCTTTGGTAGGTCTGGCTTTGGTCAAAGTTTAGTTTTCTAGTTTGAGTTTTGTCCTGGTTTAGTTTTAAATGCCGACTGGTTTGACATTTGTTTTCATAACAAAAAAATCAGACTAAACTAGGACTAAACCCAGATTTGGAATAGACTAGACTTGGACCAAACCAGGACTACATCAGCCCTAAACACAGCTTTACAAGAGTAAACCACCTAAAAAAATAAAACATCTGTACTTTTCAGTTTTTTTTGAAACTTGACAAATTAAAAATCATTGAGTCCCGAGGGTGTAATCTGTTTAAAAAAAAAAGTGAGGCTATTACATGCAGCATTATTAAATACATTCTTAAAGAGGGGGTATTTTACTTCTATGGAGTTAATTGCAAACACATCACATATTTAGTAGGGATGTAACAATAACTGAAAATATCGTGATATTGTATCGTCAAAGTTCTCACAATATACTGAATTACAAGTGTCTTTGCTTAAATTAAGAGTTGCGGTGCAGCAATAGCTAAAAAAAAAAAAAAAAGGACAGAGGGAACTACATAGACCATGATCCTTTGCTCCATTTCAGTGCAGACTACATGAAGAAATAACAGTTTTAAGCACTTTTAAGTCTTTTACAGTCTACATTCTTTGGATTAAGTCTTGTCAAGGCATTTTAAGAGGAAAAAGTATCATTAACAGTTTTGTTATCCTCCACAAAATACCGCAACAAATATCGCAACATGAGGTTCATACCGTGAAGATATTGTATCGTGAGACTTGGATATCGTTACACCCCTAATATTTCGATCACCATGCTCCCTTTTATCATTCTGAAAATACTATATTCTCCAAAAAAAGATGTATTACCATGTTTTACTTGTGTTTTTGTTGTCTGTGTGCATCCCACTAATGAAACTACCACCCATCACATCAGTGGCGGTGTGCAGTTTCGTATCATGTTTTTGTGTATTCATGGAAAATTGTCGTGTGGGAACATGGGTGACGCGTGTTTTTGTGGGTTGAGCGCTGTATAGAATCTTACAACTAACCGTAAGAATGGTTTGAATAGGGCCCAGAAAAGATCGCTAAATGACTCAAACATGCACGATCTCTCCAAGCATGTTTTTGATGAAATAACAACATTATAACATGGTAGAAAGCTAAAAATTGCTATAGATTTCGCATAATACCCCCTCTTTAAACTTAAGCTTGGTGAGACAGCAGAACATCTGCTTCTGTTTTGATGCCTTTGGCCTCCGAAGAGACACATTTGTATTCAGGAACATTGACGTCATAGTTTTGGACTGCACTGCCCCAGGACGACACAGGAGCAGAGGACAGTTTAACAGGTATAATGGACGCACTTTAAATCCCATATTTAAAGGTGCACTGTGTAACTTTTCTGGTGGAGGACCCGTCATATGCTTGTCTCCATGAAGATGTGCCTAGAAATCCAGAGTATGAACGTAAACTTGCACAGACTTGCAAGCCAAATTATAGGTTAGGTTTGTGAAGACGCAACCCCACTCACAGTAAGATAAAGATATATTAAGCAATAAATAAAACTTGTAGCTGAATAAATGCAAGACAGATTTGTTTAATATTATACTGTGGACAATTTAAACTAAAGCTTTAAAGGGACAGTTCAGAATTTTGGACATAGGACCTCATTTCCTAGTGGGCCAGAGTATTCAATACGTGTGGAGACACTTTTTAAAATATTCCATCCAGTCCTTGTATTTGCAGAGGTCACTGGTGCTAGACTAGTGCATGTCAATGGCCATAGTTATCCTGCCACTAAAAACAGTCTTACCCACTCCACAAAGCACCCGAAGAAAATCTATTATTACACCAGACTGTCGATGTAAATGTCTGTGTTGATAGAATAATGTTTAAAATAAAACTAACCTTGCATCGCATGAATCGTCGCATGTTGAGGGACTATTTTCTCATATATCAGTCCGCCGCTGCCAAGTTTTCTATCAGGAGGTACAACTCGCTGCTGCTGCTCAGACATAAATCCTTTGAATGCAAGTTTTACATCTAAAATTATTCTATCAACACAGACATTCACATCAACAGTCTGGCGTAATAATAGTTTTGCTTCGGGTGTTTTGTGGAGTGGGTAAGACTGTTTTTAGTGGCAGGATAACTATGGCCATTGACATGCACTAGTCTAGCACCAGCGACCTCTGCAAATACAAGGACTGGACGGAAAATTTAAAAAAGCGTCTCCACACGTCTCCAACACTAAACAATTTTGGACTACCTTGTGACCAAATTATGTCCAAAACTTCAAACTGTGCCTTTAACATGGAGACAAACAGGTTGAGGACCCTCTCCAGAAAAATCACACAGTGCACCTTTAATCAAATGTTTGAGTTTAGCAAACAAACATATCTAATCTAACCACAGTTTCAAACAAAATACATGGAAAAAGAAATGTGAAAAGTCCATTGGAAGCCGCATCAAGAAGTGCCAGGAAACTACCCCAAAACCAGCAAAACCAAAAGCTCAAAAAAGCTTTAACTGAAGGTACATTACATAACTAGATCATTTACAAAAGAAAAAAAGGCTTCTGTGTCTTATTTATCGCGGAAAAGCAATATCCTTGTTATATTTTGAGACTTAGTACTTTAAAGGTTCTAGTAGTGGTTGAGTAGATTTGAGCCAGATGAGATGAAGTCTGGAATGCACAAGTCCCATTTGTTTGAACAAGCAAAGTCAAATAATCACCAGTTTCTAGGCTACAGTCGCAATAATATTAGGACATACTGTACTTGCTTGTAGCTGTATTCAAAATAAAGATAGAAAAAAAAGATCTGAAGTACATACATAACTGATACTTTCTGCAATACACTCTACATCTCCACAAATATACAACAAAAACTCAAGTGCATTATCTGTCAAGAGACACAAGGTCCAAAACAGATCAACTTTTGTCTTTTTAAATTCTTCTAGGACACTAAATACCTGTTTTTGGTCACACTTGCTCAAAAACATTTTCAGTTCTGCTATGAGAACTTGTTTTGTAGTAATATTATATATTTAAATCATTGCAAACTTAAGAGGTCCTATATTACGCACAGTTGACTCTTGTGACCTTTAACGTGACACATGTTTCCTCCTCGAAAGCAGATCTGGAGTTTTGTTTTGTTTCATTCACACATGTTTAAGTAACACTTTATTATTAGTCTGTCAACAACCTCAAAGCTCAAAATGCTCAGTTCCACTTAGTGATTTAACAGCTCCTTTTACCTTTAGTTCAGTAGAGATTGGTAATTCCAGAGCTGAAATTATCCAAATGATTCTAGTGAAGTTGTATGGAGTTTAAAAACACAGTGGAGCACTTTCTGTATTACTACTTGTGTTTTCAGATTGAGAGAAAAACAAGCCTAAATGCGTAGGGTTTGCGTGTTAAACGTGTGTGAATGAAACAAAACAACTCCAGGAAATAGCGTAACAACATAAATCAGAAAAAAAGTGTACCGTATTTTTCAGACAATAAGTCACACTTTTTTTCATGTTTTGGGTGTTTCCTGCGACTTATACTCCAGTGCGACTTATATATTAAAATTTTCAGACTGACAGCCGTGAGAGGCTCTAGGCTTGTGTTTCAGGATCTAGTACTACTATTACTCCTGTACCACTGTCACTTCACTCTACTGCACATGTCTCCTGCAGAAAAAGCCGCTGTCTCGCTGCAAATAGTGAAATATTTAGCTGAAAACAGTAATCGAGCAGCAGAAAGAAAGTTTGGAGTGAGCGAGAAACTTGTGAGGGACGGGCGAAAAGCGGGAATGGAGAACACAGCACATGTAACTTTCCTGGAAGTCACTGGATGAATCGACAAAGTCTGAACTTCAATGAAAAACTGAAACCATCCTGTCGGGATTCAGAAACGCCGGAATAATTCTAACTGGAACTGATGCTGAGTCTGATGACAGCTACACAGAAGAGGAAGTGGCGCTCCGTTTACATCATGTACTACGGTTTATCTCCAGAGGTGGAGCAGAAGTGACACCGAGGATGAAGAATTCAATGGATTTAGTGATTTGGAGTGAGATCGTGAGTTTGGTAAACTTATTTTCTGTTGTTTATGCTATAATTATCTAAATAACTGTTAACATGTTACATTAACATATTAACAGTAAACATATTCTGTTGTTATTACTATAATTTGCCTTTCAAGATAAAATGGTGGTTCCTAGTCTCTGATTTTACAAAATACATTTCCCCAAAAAGTGTGACTTATAGTCCGGTAAAATACGGTAATCTAGGCCTTTTATGTTGAGCAATGGGTGATGCTATAACATTTAAAAGCCTATATATACACACAGTTTAATATTAAGGTGCATTTTAAGTAACAAAGACTACATTTGACCCACAGCTTCACATGGTTTGAATATCTCTGGAATTACTGGGGCAATAAACACAAAAAAAATACTAGTGCAATTGCAAATATCCATTTCAACACAAGTCAGAAATGGGAAAAAGCAGACAACTGACAATCTAACTGGAGTTTGTCTGCGCTAAGGTCACATTAACCCGTTTTGTTTACACAGCTGCGGAGTTGCACTTTAGATCTTTGCTGGGACATTACTTTCGCAACGTGAAGTACGCATTAGCATGATAGCTGCAGCTTTATCGTGACTGAAAACTGAAAAGCTCTTGTAAACTCATCAAGGTGCATAATTAGGATGCTTGGAATGCAAAAGGTAAGTGAGGAATATATTTGGACCACTGTAAACTTTCTAAAATGAACCAGTTCTGTTTTTTTCACATTTCTAAACAGTAAAAATCAGATAAAGTGCCTTGAACTACATTTGAGATTTTGAGATTACCTGACCAGCCAGAACCACACGCATTAACCAAACTTTACAAAGACGAGTAGATCTGGAGCTGTGTAATGTCTCCTTGATTTCGGAGGGAGTGATTGACAGGTGGATTAACCAATCAGAGAGAAGCAAGCTCCATTTGTGTCAAAACAAAACAAACGTGGCTGCTTATACAAAAAAAGGGAGAGAAATCTACATACAGCAATGAAAAATGGCATTGATTTTCTTAGAATCAACAATAAAAGCACCAAACTATTACTTATTTCAGGTAAAAGAAGGTATATGTTTTGTTTGAAGAGATGTTTTCTGAGTTTGTGAGACACGTGATCCAAATTAGCAGCTGTGTTTGGATCGTCTCAAGTTTAGACACAAGTTTCTCACGCTCTATGGTCCATTTCTAGACCCTTCCGGATTCAAAGTAAATGTGGCGGGACTGGCTGGTCAGGCATTTTTTTTGAGATACTAAAAGAGAAAGAGGAGGTCTATAAATGTCCAGGAACAAGAATCAAATGAAAGACAGGAGTTATTGATTGAACAGAAGCCTGAGCTGCAGCAAAAGGCAAACAATACTGAACTAAAGTCAATAATCTGATGAAAGACAGCAGCAAAAATGTCAGGGAAAATGTCAAATGATTTTTTTAAATTGATTGGTTTGATTTGGGATTTGTGTCCAACTTTGTGACCAACAAAAATGAACTATTTACTGCTGTCGGTGCATCGTCAGACATAACGGACCAATTCACAAAACAATTTACAAAGTCCAGCATATGCAAGAGAATTTAATTTGTGTTTTGTTGTGACCTGGTGAAATTTAGTCTGAGGTTTAGTCTAGTCTTGGTTTGGTCCTTGTCTAGTCCTGGTCTGGTACAGTCTGGGTTTGGTCCTTGTCCAGTCCTGGTCTCGTACAGTCCTGGTTTGGTCCTTGTCCAGTCCTGGTCTGGTACAGTCTGGGTTTAGTCCACATCTAGTCCTGGTCTGGTACAGCCCTGGTTTGGTCCTTGTCTAGTCCCGGTGTGGTATACAGTCCGGGTTTGGTCCTGGTCTAGTCGAGGTATGGTATACAGTCCGGGTTTGGTCCATGTCTCGTCCTAGTCTGGTATAGTTTGGGTTTGGTCCTTGTCCAGTCCTGTTCTTGTACAGTCCTGGTTTGGTCCTTGTCCAGTCCTGGTCTTATACAGTCCTGGTTTGGTCCTTGTCCAGTCCTGGTCTTATACAGTCCTGGTCTGGTACAGTCTGGGTTTAGTCCATGTCTAGTCCTGATCTGGTACAGTCCTGGTTTGGTCCATGTTTAGTCCTGATCTGGTGCAGTCTGGGTTTGGTCCTTGCCCAGTCCTTGTCCTGGTTTGGTCCTGGTTTGGTCCTTGGTTGGGTCTGGGCTTGGTCTGGGCATGGTCTGGTTCAGGTTTTTGTTTAGTCTTGTCCTGATTCAATCTGTGTTTGGTCACCATCGTTTTTTTTTTGACAATCCTACATTTGAAGAAATTAATTTTCAGTTTTTAGAAAGAAGATAATTTTCAACAAATTAAATCACCATTCTCAATGTAATTTTTCTTCCAATATGGATTTCTGCTGTTATAAATCTAGTTTTGATCAGCATCTGTATTGATTCTAAATTGTAATCTGTTAAATATTGTTGCCTGGCTGAAGCCGCACTAACACCCCACAGACAAAGGTAGAACTCAAAGGGAGAACTCAGAGGGAGACTATTTCAAATGAAGGACACTTGGTCTTTACAGGCAGCGGCGCGAGAATCCGTGGCAATGGTGAAGGCGGCGACGATGGAGGCGAACACGACGTTGGGGTTCTGCGCGGCGTCGATGGCGGTGTGGATGCCTCGGGTGCTGTAGTACTGCACCAGGGGCACGGTCTGTCTGTGGTACGCGTCCAGACGAGAGCGAAGGGTCGTCTCGTTGTCGTCACTGCGGCGCATGAGGGGCTCCCCGGTCACCTGCGAGCACAACGAAATACACAGGGTTATTGTTAGTTTTTCAATACAAGTTTTTTTTTGTTGATTTTGATTTTACATCGAGGACCAGGTCGTAGAGACAGCAGTTACAATTAATATTTGTTTACTTTTGTGCCGTAAGAGAGATTTAAGCTCTCTGGTGGTAGTTACTCTATCTGCAAGACTCAATGGAGATGAAAAATTAAAACCAAGCTTAAAGCTATTCTGTAATTAAGTCAACCCACCCCCGTTGTATTCTCACTTTACACCACTAACCATCTATGTTACTGCTGCCTAATAGTGTACAAGCTTTCACCATTATGTGCAATATCCCAGGCAAAGAAATAACATCAACAAGGAGCTGATATAGATATTCAATATTTGGCCTGCAGCTGTGAGCAAAAACAGATATTTTGCTTTTTAAATCAATTGCGACCCACAAATTTAGGCCCCATCCACACTAGTGCGTATTCGAGTCATTTTCGTTGCGGATGCAGTGTTCATCCATAATAATCCGATGAAAAATGGCTCCAGAGACGGAACGAACTGGTGCTGCCAGCTGCCACGAATTTATATGAATACGTATTTGAGCTGGCTCTGTGTGGACCTGAAAACGTTGATACACTGACGTAGGAGCTCTAGTTGCCGTCCTTACTGGACCACGTCACTGTGACTTGCACCTTCAACACTCTGAGCCGCCATGCTCGTCTTAAAATCCAGTGTTACGTTCAGTAACAACTGAATCGCGTCATCAGTCCACAAAGAAAATATTTTTATGCTTGCCATCTTCCTCGGCTCCAAATCGGCTGCTGCAACTTCAGACACAGTGCTCCACTTCTTTGTTTTTACTGCCCACGTGAAGTTGTGATAACATGATGCCAGCCTAGTCATATGACTAGGTTTCACGTTACTGTGTGGATAGATTGTGGATGCAGAAACAATGTGTCTGGAAGCAAATCATTTCTGATACGGTGATTCGTTTCAGTGTAAATGTAGCCTTAGCTTAAATTGAAGTAATGATCAAAATTTATTTTTGAGTAAACACACAGCCATATAATGCTCTTCCATTTTGACTTTGTCTGTTCAAAAAAGACACATGGAGAATAAGGTGAGTTTTTAAATTGGTCAATGCCAATATGGAGAGATCTGTATCAATGTCGGCCAATATTGGAACCATTATATTCTCCATCCTCAATTACAAATCAGGTCTGTGGAGACTGGAGAGGTAAGTCCCCACACATCTCTCGATCTTCACTTTGGTGGTTTTGGGCTCTAGGTGGAGCATAACTGAGCCTTTACTCCTCTGTACTTGTCTTGTCCAAGCCATCTGCATGTGAACATTAAAGCCCTCAGAAGTCGTCCTCATTTTTAAACATCTGGATCCACATAATGAACAAAGAGCAGAATCCTATTAAGCTTTGCCTCGTGTCTGTATCGTCTCATTGTTGTAACTAAATAATGAGAACTTGATCGGTCACTGACCAATGCGCACAGTCTGTAAATAAAGAATCTATTTAAAACCAGGTCAGGGCAGGTTTCTGGGCTCATTCATTATTAACCTGTGACTTGATCAGACTCACTTTCCCTGTGCCTACGTCATCTGCTGCTCCTTTTCCTATCAGTCTTAAAGCTGCACTATAGAACTTTTCTGGTGGGAGTTTTGCCTGGAATATCCCACAATAAAGCATTACATTTGTCTTGCATTTTCGCAATAACAGGTGTTTTTATTGCTCAAAAATAACCCTCTTACTACAGTTACAATTACAATAGTTACAATATATACCTAGATAGAGTGCAATTTGATACAATTCAAAACAGTACAGTAAAAAATAAAGTCTAAGGTTACGCTAACACTGAAACAAATCACTATATCGCCGTATTGGAAACAATTTGCATCCAGATACATCGTTTCTGTGTCTGCAATCAAAGCCTGAAACGTCACATGACTAGGCTGGCATTACGACGTCATGTGGGTGGTAAAAACAAGGAAGTGGAGCACCATGTCTGAAGTTGCAGCAGCTGATTTCGAGCCGAGGAAGATGGCAAGTGTGAAAACAGTCTTTTCGTGGACCGACGACAAGGTTTAGTTGTTACTGTGCGTTTCCCGTTTGTCTATGGGTTTGTTTAAACTGTTTTCCGCAATAGCGTCACATGATCGATGTCACGACCCCAGCGATTCAGGAAAGGTGCAAGTCACAGTGACGGGGTCCAATAAGGACACAACTAGAGCTCCTACGTCGGCGTATCAGTGTTTTCAGGCATCCACACAGTGCCGGATCAGATCTGTACTCAGATTAATTCATGGGAGCTGGCGGCACCAGATTTCTGTCTCTGGAGCCATTTTCCATGGGATTAGTGTGGACAAACACTGCATCCACAACGAAAATGACTCGAATACTAGTGTGGCCTAAATCATAGTTGTCATACCAAAAGTCTTTATTAAACCACTACTTGAAAGGTTAATATAAAATACACCCATTCTAAAAAGGTTCTATATTGACTCTTGTGAACTTTCAGCCATGTTGTTACCTCATCAAAAACATTCCTGGGGTTGTGTTTTGTTTCATTCACACATGTTTGAGTAAAGCCTTATTATTAGTCTGTCTACATCTCAAAGCTCATAATGCTCTGTTCCACCTTGTGATATCCATGAAGCAGTACATTTCATCTTAACAGCACCTTTTACCTTTAGTTCAGGCATTACAGGGCTGAAATCATCTAAATGATTTAAGTGAAGGTGTGTGGATCTTAAAAACACAGTGGAGCACTTCCTGTATTACCACATGACATCACAAAGTGGAACTGTGTTTGCGAGAAGAACTCAGCCTAAATACGCAGGATGTGTGTGTTAAAAATGTATGAATGAAAACACAACTCCAGGCACGTTTGTTTTTTGACAAAACAAGATTATAGAATAGATAATACATTTGCGTAATATGGGCCCTTTAATCATCAAAACAGTGAATATGTCAAATGTGTTGCATAAACAAGTTTCTTTCCTCTATACAAGCAACAAAATTCTAGTGCTGCCACAAAATATCATAAAATCAGACAAGAGTATATTTTACTATTTTACAGTCTCGATATCGTGAGCTGCTGTATCGATATATTGACAATGCTACTTCTTACTGTGAGCGAGTTCGTTTATCCACAGATACACAACTTGATCTGCTTGCTTTCATGGAGATAGACAAGTTTAATGCCACACTCTGAAACATTCCAGGCAAAGCAATATAATTTCCATGGAGTGTACCTTCCAGCAGAAAGGTTACACAGTGCACCTTTAAATGAATCCTACTTTGGTTACACCTTTAGAAAAACAAAACATCTTGTTGTTGTGAAAGTGAACCTGCAATACCGCGTTTGGCAACAAGCTGTTTTTATAAAGAAAACACCACAAAAGGTCAGATAGTTATCGAGCCATCTGCCCCGTCGTCACGTTTCACAAACAAAACACAAGAAGCACATGGAGGCTTCAGTTAAATGAGTTAAATGTATCAGGAACACATAAAATTCTAGCGAAGTTCAAACCAGGGTGACTATTTTTAGAGATGGGTATCATTAAAGCTGCACCGTGTAACTTTTCTGGTTGGGGGTCTGTCTCCTGCTTGCTTCTATGGGTATTATGGTGGTCCATCAAAAAAAAAAGTTTTAGATAATCTCGATTAGAACATCAAGTTTTAGTTTTCGAAAAGATGATTTAGGAAGAAAAATGAAATATTTTAGAGGTTGCTCAAGCTGCATCAAGTTTCCAGGAAAATGATTAACTTTCTAACTTTTTATGGACTTTCTAAGTAATTTTAGTGCAAGTTTCTGTTTGCAGAATAAAATTACAAATTATTCGAATAAGTCTTATTTATTGGTTCGCGATGTTCTTGTATAAAGGCCCTATAAGGCAATTTTCAAGTGTCTTAAGCAACCACTAAATATTAATTAATTTGTAAGGATGTAACAATAACCAAAATATTGTGATATCGTATCATCAAAAGTCTCACAATAATATTGTGGACTGTCACAATATATATCAAATTGCAAGTCTCTTTACTTAAATTGATTGTTATGATGCAGCAATAGCAAAAAAAAAAAACAGAGGGAACTACATAGACCATGATCCTTTGGTGTTAACATTAATAACACTTAACATTAATAAGACTTTAAAATCTTAATTCTTCTTATTACAACAGTACCAATGTTTTTTAAAGAAGTAAGTAGCACATTCACAGTTTTATTAGCCCCCGCAAATATCGCAATAAATATAGTATCGTGAGTTTTGGATATCATACACTATTAATTTGCTTAACATTTGGACTCAAACATTTTGGCCAGATATGGAACCAAATGCCACATGGTTCTAATCTTTTTGGACCACCCTAATGGGTATGCTGTTGCTCTGCCTGAAATTTTCCACAGTGTGACATTAAACAGCTCTACCTTACAGTTATTTAATTACAGGTGGTTTCATAGCTCAAAAATACTTAGAAAAACAAGCATTGTGACTGTGAGCGGGGTCGCCTCTACACAGATCTGACCCGTAACTCTTTATTTTTAATGTCTACATCTCCAAAGCTCAAAATGCTCTGGTCCAAACTGTGATAACTTGAAAACTACTGCTTCATGAAAACAGCTACTCATTACCTTGAGTTCAGTCGAGATTGGCAAAGGGCTGAAATTATCCAAATGATTCTAGTGAAGGTATGTGGAGTTTAAAAGCACACTGGAGCACTTCCTGTATGTATATGACATCAGTTTCAAAGAAGAACTCTAATTAATTTGTGTGTTAAACATGTGTGAATGAAATAAAACAATTGCAGGTCTGTTTGTGATGAGGAAACAACATTAAAACATAGATAGGCAAACAGGTTATATGAGCCATCTAATTATCAGACTTCCCTTCGCACCATAAAATACCTTTGGCTCTTCCTATTTCCAACTAATGCATTTAAAACAGATCTCATCTTTGCTTTGCCGTCCTCAATTTCGCACTGAACTGCGTCACTGGTCGAAAATAGCCCAGTCTGTGTGCAATTTTCAGCTCTACTTTGGCCTCAGGTAGGTGGGAGCATAAATGGGCCGATATTGAAAATACTTACGTCATCTTTCATGGGCACTTTGGGCGGGTTGAACTCCTCGTGGTAGGAGCGGCCGCTGGGTTGATGGATCAGTCTGGTAATGAAATCAAATGGAGGAGACGAGGTTAAAGTGGAAGAAGAGGAGGAGGAGGAGGTCGAACCAGAGCCCGGAGTGACTCACTCCAGGCTCGCAGCCCACATGCCGTTCTTGTACAACTCAGGCTGGATGTAGGTTTTGTTACAGCAAAGTGTGGTAATAAATATTGTGGAGATTTGTGGCACAATAGAGACTAGTCCACTATAAAAAAAAACTGCCTGTATCATCCAAAACAATTAGTTATAAGACAAATATGAATAGATCTTTTATAAACAAAGACAGCGGCATTATTAAATCAAAATAAAAAAAATGTACAATAAATACAAATAATACACTTTATTTGTAAATATTTTAGATTTAGAAGTTGTGAGTCATTATAATTCAAGTTTCATCTGGTTGATAATCCATTTAAAAAGTCTCGATTACTCAAATATATTCACGGCTGACTGGTCGTCTACTAAAATAATCATTAGTTGCAGGCCTGGTGGTGAAACTTAATTTTAAAATTTCAGTATTCAGTGTTTTTTTGACAACACCTGTGGTAGGTCTGGGCAAAATATCAATTAAATGAAATTTGAAGTTCAAACCAATTCGTTTTCGGGAAAAATAAAAATTTCTTGTATTGAAAATTGCAATGAAAATACAAGAATGGCCGTGGTGCTTTGAAATCAGTGATGTCAAATTCAGTGTTGGGGCTAAATGTTTTATAAACGAGATAAAAGAATCTGTTGCATTAAAGATCTTCCCAGTGGCCAATGGGTTAAATATGATTGCTGATTGATATAATCTTTTCAGTTATGACCATTTACTGTAGTTTGCAGAATATTTTTAGTGGAGTGGGAATATTGAATGGATATTTTGGAAAAAAAAAATTGACCATCAAAACCGCCCAGTCCTAACCAGTAGGAAATAGGTAGGAAATAAAATTGATAATTGGAATAACAAGCGATACAGAAACTGTCAATTTTGAACACAGCCCTTCCATTAAAAATTGTTGTGAGTTTTGGACATGAGTTTAAAATGTTATAATTTATAATAAAACAAATGCATAAATGTGTTTTAGAGATAGAATAATCCCTCGTACCTGCCACAGATCCTGCGAACCAACAGAGAATCATCAACAGCAAACTCAATGACAGAGTCCAGCTTCTCCTGCCTCTTGTCCAGAAGCTCATCGAGCTGTGGACAGAAACAAACAAACACTGCATCACTGAACACATCCCAATCAAATTAAAGGTGCATTGTGTAACTTTTCTAGTGGAGAGTCTGTCAAATGCTTTTCTTCATGGAAATGTCATTGCTCTGCCTGAAATGGTTCTATCTTGCATTCATTAAATTACAGGTGGTTTTATAGCTCAACAATATGTAAAAACAGGCATTCTGATTGTGAGCGGCGTTGCCTCTCCACAGATCTGACCTGTAACTCGATCTGGTTTGGTCTCCATGAAGATAGAAAAGTTTAATGACACACTGTGAAACATTCCAGACAAAGTAATAACATCTCCACTGAGAAAAGCACTTGTCAATGCACCTTTAAATAAGTCCTCAAATATCTGCTAAACGCATGAATGAAATTGAGAGTTTTAAGTTTGTGTTTGTGAATTGTTTGATATGCGGTTGTCATGGATACGTGACTGACCATCTCTGCCTGTTTGACTGTTCGGGGGAATCCGTCCAATAGGAATCCTTTGCTGCAGGGAGGCGTGTCCAGGTTCTTCTCGATGAGCTCCACCACCATCTCATCGCTCACCTACAGAAACACCAAATTCAGATCAGATACAATTTATTTTTTACATCATGACAAACAATAAAACTATGTGAAACTGTTTAAAATGTTCCTTTAACCCTTTTCGAAATTTCAGAATTGTGATTTTAACATTTAAATACTTAAAAATGTCCAATATAAAGCATTATTTAGTAGATGCAATCAGCAAAAAGCGCCAGTAATTTCCTCCACAAACAAAATACCTTTTCAATTCTGCATAAAACTGCTAACCCTGCAGTTTGGATCTGCACACATGTTCTCAAATGTGATTCTTTGTTTTTACTTTGTCATTTCATATTTTAGTTTAATCAATTTTCCTGGATGCGTTTAAATGGTCAACTTTTAGCAGAATCCCATTACTAAAATATAAACTGCAAATCTATCACACCTGCAATGTTGATCAGAATAATGCAATATTTTTTCCCGAATTGTTAAAACCTATACTGAAAAATTAAAAACCAAACTCAAAATAAACATCCATGGCAAAAGAAAAAAGAAGAGGAGACAGCAGAGGGATTACATAAACATCCATGATTACTTAAACACATTTGTTTGTACTGTGAAGTAATTTAAAACTAAAGGTATATTTTAGATTAGAGGATTACATTACATTATTAAAAGGTTAAAAACGTTCAGTCTAGCATATTACAAGTGTTAGTCAGTTCAAGTAACATAATTATCTGCTTATGTTGAACTTTATTTTTACACTTTTCTAATTTTCCTCAACAGGAAAGTGGAGAGGTGTTAGCAGCAAGTACGAAAACTAATAGCAAAACTAGACACTCATTTGAGCAGGTATTGATACAAAAAAAAGTCACATTCAGAGGAAAAAATTAACCTTTCCTGAGTAGCTTTAGAATGATCTTGAGCTGTATAAAAACAAGTATTTTCTGGACTATAAGTCACACTTTTTTCTGTCGCGACTTATGTATTAAAATTTTCACACTGAAGCCGCGAAAGGCTCTAGTCTTGTGTGTCAGTATCTTCTGCTCCTATTACTCCTGTACCACTGTCACTTGGCTCTAGTGCGCATGTCTCCTGCAGAAAAAGCCTCTGTTCTGCTGCGAATAGTGAAATATTCAGCCGAAAACGGTAATCGAGCAGCAGAAAGAAAGTTTGGAATGAGCGAGAAACTTGTGAGGGACTGGCAAAAAGCGGGGATGGAGAACACAACTTCATGGCAACCGGGAGGGTGCCCCATGAAACTTTCCTGGAAGTCACTGGACGGATCAACAAAGCCTGGACTTCAGTGACAACCGAAACCATCCTGTCGGGATTCAGAAAGTCCGGAATAATTCTAACTGGAACTGATGCTGAGTCTGATGACAGCTACAGAGACAGCGGCGCTCCGTTTACCTCCGCTCAGAAGTGAAACAGGATGAAGATTTTAATGGATTTAGTGACTTGGAGTGAGATGGAGAGTTTGGTAAACTTGTTCTGTTCTGTTGTTTATGTTATAATTATCTGAAGACCTGTTCATATGTGACGTTAACAGTCTGTTGTTCTCTGTTCTATTGTTGTTACTGTAACTTGCCTTTCAAGATGAATTTTCTGTTCCTGGTCTCTGATTTTATAAAAGAAACTTTTCAGTTCCGATATTGATCCTATGTCGGCTCATATCCGATATATTGACCAATCAGCGTAGGGAGTGAAAATGGTATTTTATTCTCTCAAAATACAGTTTTAACTTATTACAAAACTGACCTGACTGTGTTGTGTAAGTGTTATGTATCCTGCAAATAATTACGGAACACCTTTGTATAAATTAAAGATCAAACATCATGATATGGCCTGGGCCTATATCAGTCAGTTCAGAGTCCAAACAGGATAATCGACTGAACTGATATCAGGGAACTGACACTGCAAATTTTCCCGAATCAGCATCGATATTTGATACTAGTATCGTATCGGTGCATCTCTACTCTTGTCTAAATAAAGAGTTTTTATGATCATCGAAATCTGTACAAAGTCTACTCCTTAGTATCGAAATAGAGTTTGTAATTGCAGTTTGGTGACAACATTAGTTACCAGTTTTCCAGAGTCCATGGTCTTTTTGAGTCTTTTCCCGAGCTCGGAGCCTGAAGCCACCATGGCCCTGAGCATGTCCCCTGTGGCCAAGTGACACACACAGTACTTCTCTGCCAGACGAGGGGCCTGCAAAAACAACACAAAAATCTGTCAGAACTCACAGCTATGGAGAGAAAAGAGGTACAAACTTCATTCTTCAACTTCACAATAATGCTGTGGTGGAAGAAAATAAATGCTACTTGATATAGACACTGGTATGTATTGTTTATTTATTTAGACTTAGACAAACTTTACAGATCCACAAGGGAAATTACTTGGACACAGAAGCTCAAACATCACAATATAATATAATAGTAAAGAGTAAAGATCCAAATAGTAATAATAAAATCAAAATAAGCAGCAAAAATAGCAAGAGACTGGTGTCCAATAAAGGCGTAATTATATAAATCTGAATATGTTTATATATTTTTGCACTGTTGCACTGTTTTTCCTTGTATATAACTGTGATATACTGCATTTAATTTTCACAAGACAAGAAAAGACACAAGACTGGGTTCACGAGAACGAGAAATTACGACATTTTAACATAATTCCTAAAACATAAACATCATGACTCAGTTCCCAATTTTGGCTGTTGAAATGCTGAAATGCAAACACTTTGGGGGTGAAAAAAAAAAAAAAAAAAATCACACGAAATAATTTTGCTCATGTGTGCACAATCTTGTGGCAGTTTTGTCACACGAGATCTTGTGTTCATATTACTATACTTCTATATTTTACATGTATATAATGAATGAATGAGAGAAGAACACTAAATATGCAGGGTTTGTGTGTGAATGAAACAAGACACAGCTCACCCCAGAGTTTGTTTTCAATAAGGAAATAACTTTCTAAATTACATATACTGTAAGTTTTGTTTCACTTAAAGTTGCAACTAATCAGAACAATCAGGACTATTTCAACGATTTATAAAATATGAGTGAACGGGTTGCAGTATATTCAGATAAATTCTTATCTACATTGATTTTATTTAACAGTGGTCATCTGGATGCGGTCTTTGACATTTTCAATTTGATAGTACTGACTTGAGAGAAATATATCTTAATTATTACTAGGAATGGGACAAAACCTCATACCGCAAGATCTCGCGAGACAAAATTATCATGAGATCGCGCACACATGCTGAAAATGATTGAGATTTTTTTTTTTTTTATGACTGATCAAGATGTTTTTATGTTTTGGATTGGATACAAACATGGAGTCAAGTACTGGTGCGTAAATTTTTTTGAGAAGCTGTAGTCCAAAAAAGCAGAGCTACAATGACAGCAAAATATTAAAATTAAAATGGGAACTGGATTGTACAATTTATTATAAAGAATGTAAAAATCTTGTCTTGTCTCGTTCTCCTTCCAATGTCTTGTCTCCTGTTGTGGAAACTGTATCCCGACAAACCCCCACTAATTACAAAACCACTCAGCTGATTTAAAGTACCTAAAGTTGCAAAGATATAATGACATCTTTACAACTTAAACTGAGTGAACTCAGAAGCAGCAGTGTCTGTGATTAAATCAACAGATCCAGGTCATGACCCCGAATGCCTGTGTGAGCTGGAGCATGAGTCTGGACACATCAGCAAAAACAAATACTACAAGAATGTGTAAGCTTTAACTGTTTTCAATGAGTTATACTGCATTTCCTCTCTGGAATTAGGGACTGAAAGAAGACCTATTGTGTTTGTGTCTGCTATATACAGTTCTTATCTGTCACAGCTCTGGATTATTATGTTTTAATTTGGACATTTTAAATCGCAACATTCATCTAAAATGACTTAAAGGTCCTACATTATGCAAAAATTACTCTTGTGAGCTTTTAGTCATGTTATAAGGCTCTTACCTCCTCAAAAACAGACCTGGAGTTGTGTTTTGTTGCATCCGCACGTTAAGAGTAACCCTGGGTTGTCTACATCTCAAAATCTGAAAATGCGCTGTTCCACCTTGCAATAACTTTAAAACTACGGCTTCATGACAGGAGAACCTTTTGTTCTGTAGAGTTTGGCCCTTCCTGTAGTACTACATGATATCACACGGTGGAACGGGGTGTTTTCTGTTTGAGAGAAGAGCTCAGCGTAAAAGTGCAGTCAGGGTTTGTGTGTTTAAAATGTGTGAATGAAACAGCATTTGCTCTAGATTTACTTGTGATGAGGACACAACAAATTATTATAGATCAGAAAATAGCTTAATATGGGCCCTTTAATAAAAACACTGACTTCTGAAAAAACAACATGGTTCCCAATGGGAGCCAACATCAACGTAAACTCCTATTGCTCCTGGACCACTGTCACTTTACTCTACTGCGCACGTCTCCTGCAGAAAGAGCTTCTGTCCTGCTGCAAGTAGTGAAATATGCAGCTGAAAATGGTAATCGAGCAACAGAAAGAAAGTTTGGAGTGAGCGAGAAACTTGTGAGGGACTGGTGAAAAGCGGGGATGGAGAACACAATTTCACTTCAACCGCGAGGGTGCACCGTGCAACTTTGCTGGTAGTCACTGGATGAATCGACAAAGCCTGAACTTCAGTGACACCGAAACCATCCTGTCGGGATTCAGAAAGGCCAGAATAATTCTAACTGGAACTGATGCTGAGTCTGACGACAGCTACACAGAAGAAGAAGCCGCGTACATCATGGATCTATGGTTTATCTCTGGAGGACGTGCAGAAGTGACACCGAGGATGACGAATTCAATGGATTTTGTGATTTGGAGTCAGATCATGAGTTTGGTAAACTTATGTTGTTTATGCTATAATTATCTGAATAACTGCTAATATGTTACATTAACATATTAACACCTATTCAGCCTGTTGTTCTCTATTGTGCTGTTATTACTGTAACTTGCCTTTCAAGATAAAATGTTGGTTCCTGGTCTCTGATTTTACACAATGCATTTCCCCAAAAAGTGCAACTCATGTTATAATGATGTATATTTTTTCTTCCTCATTCCTGCATTTTTTTGACTGGTGTGACTTATACTCCGGAAAATACGGTAACTGCTTAAAAAAACACTAAATACCACACCCAAAAGAATGCTTTTATCTACATCACAGTGTTTGGGTGTAACAACTTTGTAAAGAGAAGTGGTCGAGCAACATTTTCAAACATTAACAATTATCTTAAACCAGGCAAATTGCTGTGGCTCATTCTGTACAGCTATGAGGCACATGTTTGATCTGTGTATTGACCCCGGCCTTTGGTCATCCATCGGCCCTCTGCTTCATCTCTGCTTTGATATTTGGCCTTTGATGAACAAGGTTTGGACGTCTTTGGCTTAAACCTTTTCAAAGACATTTTACAAACAGTAGCAATATAAGGCAAATGGTAAAGTTTTCAACAATAGAGTATGAAGAAAAAAGTGTCTCACAATATTTTCAAATAAAACACACGTAGGGATCAAAAAGAAACCTCAATTTAAGCACTAGTAAAATACATATCTGTAAATCAGTGCATGAGCTTTGATGTGCCACTGTCATTTATAGTTTTATAGTTTTATTTGTGCAAATCAGATCTATAATTATTAGTTCAACTCAACGTTTGAACTTGGAATAACACGATTTAATACCTGCTCAGTTGTTTTTGCATTGCTTAGGGCTATGTGGTCAAATTAGTGTGTTGCTATCAAGAAGTTTGGCAATTTTACATTCGTTTTTAAAGTCTTGCCTCCCTGACACTTTGCAGGGGAAAGCTGTAATCTGATACAAGAAAGTACAGTGCAGAACAGGTTCACTGACTGACAAAGATAAGTTTAAAAACGGAAGTATTACACAAACTCGTGCTGAAAATGGATTCTATTAAAAGTCCTACATTACTCAATTTTCCGATGAGTTATAATATCGTTTCCTCACCATTTTGTTCACAAGTTTAACATAGAAACCCTGCATATTTAGGCTGTGATCCTTTCTCAAACGCAAACACTCTGTACCACCTTGTGATGTCATGTGGTACTACAGAAAGTGCTCCACTGCGTTTTTAAACTCCATACACCTTCACTGCAATCATTTGGATAATTTTAGATGTGAAATTGACAATCTCTACTGAATTATTGGTAAAAGGTACACTTGAAAACTATTATTACATGAGCTAAACAGACTCATAATAAAGGGTTACTCAAACATGTGTGAAAGAAACAAAACAACTGTAGGTATGTTTCTGATGAGGTAACAGCATTATAACATGGCTTAAAGCTCACAATAATCCATGTTGTGTAATGTAGGACCTTTAAATATGTACATAGCAGAGTGTAGAGAGAGAAAGAGAGAGAAAACTGCTAATTCCCCATCACAAAACAAAACTCGTCAATAAATTTGTGGATTACTTGCTGTATTACTAACATTACTATATTCGAATAAAATGAATGACAAATTTAACTCAACAAAACATCTGCGATCTAAACGTGTTTCTAAAAGCAGTACGCTTTCCACATGAAGGAAATGAAAATAAAATAAGTTATAGAAAGACAATATTGGGAAGTAACAGATTACATGTACCAGAGTTACGTAATCAGAGTACAAATTATGAGTAACTGTATTCAGTTACAGTTACTGTTTTAATGAGTTGTAATTGGATTACAGTTACTTTGTTGAAATAAATGGATTACACTGCGGTATTTTCCCGTTTTCCTGTTTTAACATTTTGGGCTAGTTCTAAACTAGATCTAAACCAGGTCTAAACCAGGACTAAAACCAGGACTAAAACCAGGTCTAAACTAGATCTAAACTAGAGCTAAACCAGGACTAAACCAGGACTAAGACCAGGTCTAAACTAGTTCTAAACTAGATCTAAAACTAAAACCAGGTCTAAACCAGGACTAAACCAGAACTCAGGTCTAAACTAGATCTAAAACAGGTCTAAAACCAGGTCTAAACCAGGACTAAACCATCCTAGTCTTTGCTACTCTACAGCAAATCAAGTAATCCAAAGTATTCAGATTACGTTACTCACTTTAAATAACTTCATGGATTCCGTTACAAACTACATTTTGGGGTATGTAATCTGTAATCTGTAATCCTTTTAAAAGTAACCTTCCCAACACTGATTACTAACATTACTAGATTCGAATAAAATGAATGACAAACTTAACTCAACAAAACATCTGCGATCTAAACGTGTTTCTAAACGCAGCACGCTTTCCGCACGAAGGAAACGAAAATAAAATAAGTTATAGAAAGAATAAGAAGTTTTGACATCTGTTAAATGTTAGCTTTAGCTTTAGCATTAGCATTAGCGGCTAACTGGACCATGCGTTTTAAAGCAGCCGGAGCCGGACGATGCTAATGCTAACAGCCGGAGCTAGCGCCTCACCTGGGTCCCTTTCCCTGCTCCCGGGGGTCCGAGCAGGATGGCCCGGATGCCCTCCTTCACATCGGCCACTGCCTCTTTGAGCTGGACGGTTGGGGCCATGTCTGGAGCGGGGAACAAACTTTTACCGAAGTCTGTCCGTGAGGTCCTCCTGCACGCAGCGCAGCCGAGTGCGACCGACAGAGGGCGCCACGGCCCGTCTTCCGAACGTGCAGAAAAACCCCGCCTCTCACGCTGACACGGAGGATTTCTAGTGGTCAATACAGCTGTCCATCATATAACACAGGCTTGCGATTGGCTAAATTTATATGCATATTCGTAGCATTCCACCCACTTCGAAGTCGGCTCCGGTTCCGGAAGTAAATTTCCTATTCATTTTCTCCGTAGACTTTTAGAAATAAAAATCTAATATTAAGAGTTCAAAGATATTACGGAGGCTAACCAGCTATTTATTAACTAAGATCTATGACACAGTCCGAAACGCAAATTTAAAATGCAAGTTTCAGATTAAAAAAATAATAAATAAATTAAATAAATGAGCCGTTTATAAAGTTTCAGAAACAGATTGTCAATAAAATTCTTGGTCTTGTGGTCATAGTTACCACGTAGCATATTAACCCTGAGCTTTCAGACTTTTTTTTTTCTTTTTTTTTTCTCATGGACAGAAAGTCTATGACAATAAAATCTACTTCCTATTGCATCGGATTGCATTACATGAAACATTTTGAGGATTATTTTCAATTCAGTTATTATTATTATTTTTTTTTTCACTCAACAGAAAGCACTCTCTTCCACTTTGTGATGTCATGTAGTAATACTGGAAGTGCTTCACTGTGTTTTTAAACTCTGTACACCTTCACTAGAATCATTTGGACAATTTTAGCCCCAGAATTGAAGTAAAAGGAGCTGTTAACTTAAAAACTACCGCCACATGACATCACAAGGTGGAGCAGAGCATTTTGAGCTTTGGAGACGTAAACAGACTAATAATAAAGGATTACTCAAACATGTGTGAATGAAACAAAACACAGCTTCAGGAGGTAATAACATTATAACATGGCTTAAAGCTCATAAGAGTACATTTTGCGCAATATAGGACAGTCTTATTACGCAACAATCTAAACCCTCATCATTCTGAAACTAATGGAATGTTTTTTATTTTACTGAGATGAGTGAAGTTAACACCACTGAATGACTGAGCGACTGCATAGACATCTTTATCATTAATACATAAATTTTCTATTCTACAAACATACATATTTGTTTGTTTAAAATACAACAGGCTGCAAATTTAAAGTAATAATTAAATTAGAAGTAACCCAGCTACAGACTGGGATGTTTTATTTTGGCTTCACAACCAAGAAAAAAAAAAAAGGAAAAAGAGGGAAGTTCAACTTTTTGAGGAACAAGATATAACCAAACCTCTCATGTGACGGAAGTTCATTAGACACTTGTTCACTGAATAGCTGCGATGTCTGAAGATGTGGTGTACAGTGACGTGAAATTTAATAAAAAGAAAGCCCAACAGAATGGTAAGTCTATTTGAAATTAATGAGTGTAATGTGTAAAATATGTACACAGCTTTTAAATTTTCTGCATTTCAGAGGTCAGGTCTCCAGATCAGGATGATGTAACCTATGCTGTGGTCAGAAAAGGGAAATCTAAAACCTCAGGTAAGTTAAACTAAAGCCTGCAAATACAATATAAGTGTGAATTACTCAACTGCTTTTATAACGTGAAATGTTACAGTTGCCCAGTCCATAGTAAGAAATAAGCAGCTGTAATGTCACTTCATTCTATTGTATTCACTGCATCTTTTTCTGTCAGCTTCTACATGGTCAAATTAGAAGTTTAAAGCTACTAGTTGTGTATCTGGATGAGGTAATTCCAGTCTGTTTGTAACTGACTGCAACAGGAAGGCATAAGGGCATAAAATTATAAGTATAAATACATAAATAAAGTGCACTGAATTGGATAAAACCCCACCACATCAACACAAACAAGTCTGTGATAAAATGAAGTGAAAGATAAAAAAAATACTTACCAGTTTGTGTTTTGTTTGCAGAATAAGATGCACCGAAATATAGAGACAAATGTTAAATGACTCTTTTTTGGTTTTCTGCAGAACCGTCTTCCTCGCAGGGCAATGATGTCATCTCCTCAACTGTTGCCACAGAGCTGGGTTCAGGAAAAACAGGAGGTGAGCACAGCCATAGCAAAAAAACAAAACAAAAAAAAAACACAAGTAACACTTTGTTTTACACATCATGCTATTTTAAAACAAATGAAGTAATATGTGAAAGTTATGAAAGTACTTAAACATGTAGTGCGCAGCTTTTCTGGTGGAGGGTCCGTCTCTGTCATCTGCTTTTCTTCATAGAGATGTTATTGCTTCGTCTAGAGCACCGTTACTTTAAAACTGTAATGTGTTATTTATGATTTGTTACTGTCATTTCAAAGTAATTCGTTACATTACAATATTACTGTATTTAAAATGTAAGACATTACACGACTATTGCAGCACGTTAAGTTCCTCTCACCAAAATAACTGTGAAGATGCTGAACTTCCGAAGAGTCCGTATATGGACTGAACTAGGACTAATCCAGGATTAAACCAAAATTGAACCAGGACTAAACCAGAACTAAACCAGAACTGAACCAAGGACTAAACCAGGAATAAACCAGGACTAAACCGGGATTGAACCAGGTCTAAACCAGGTCTAAACCAGGACTAAACCAGGACTAAACCAGGACAAAACCAGGACTAAACCAGGAATAAACCAGGACTAAACCAGGACTAAACCAGGACTAAACCAGGACTAAACCAGAACTGAACCAGGACTAAACCAGGAATAAACCAGGACTAAACCAGAACTGACCCAGGTCTAAACCAGGACTAAACCAGGACTAATCTTGGACTAGAACTTGGAATCTAGGACCGCCCCTGAGAGAACCCCGAGCCCGTGGACCAGGGTGTCTGCGTGGCGCGATCGGGCGTCAGTTGCGTTTAGCCCCATCGAGCGTGGAGTTCTGTGCCGGTCCTTTCGCCCACGGTTCCCTGACGGTCTACACGGGTGCGTCTCTGGCGTTTCACCGCTGCTGATATCGTGGTGATTTTAGCTAATTTGTATGAAGAAAAACAAAAAAACCCACCACTTCAATCCAGGTTAAAAAAGCATTGAAACATGCGTTACTCACATTTGTACCGAGTAAAATATTACTTTTTTTCCCCCCTGTAATGCCACATTACTGCATTAAAACAAAAAGCAAAGCATTACAATAATTTGTTACTTTTATAACACGTTACTCCCAACACTGGTCTAGACCAGGGGTGTCAAACTCAAATTCACAGAGGGACAAAATTAAAAACTGGGACTAAGCCGTGGGCCAAACTAAATATTTATTGATAAATTTCAACAACATCTGCATGTTTTCTCTTCTTTCGAGATGTGTAATGTTAAACCTTTTCTTATTAAAATAAATGTTTAATAATAGTTTTGCTTAAACATTGAATCCAGAACAATCAAAATATAAAATAATAACAACATTTTAAATAAATAATGTCTCTATAGCCTATCTGTAGCCGGTGGGCAGCTCTAATACATGTTTGATATGATCTTGTGGGCCAAATTTAACCCCTGGGCCTGAGTTTGACATGTCTGGTCTAGAATGTTCCACAGTAGAGATTAAACTTCTCTATGTATATATATTGGCTATATTACAGGTCAGATCTGTGGAGAGGCAGCCATATTCACAGAAGGCATTAATGTATTTTTGAGCAATAGAAACACCCATAATGAATAAATGCTAGAGAGATGTGGTTAATGTCATACCACGGAATATTCCAGGCAATGCATTAACATCTCCATGGAGACAAGCAGGTAGCAAACCCTCCACCGGAAAAGTTACGCAGTGCACCTTTAATTTTAAATAGCTTTGCAACGTGACGTCTCCTGAACCGAGGTCAAATTTCTTTCATGCTTTCATTCTGTTTCTCTGGGCATCCTTTAAATACCGCAATTAAAACTGCAAGCAGCGATAAGGGCCCTCGCACCACATAACAGCGCAAAGCATTCAAAAGTTAGAAAAACTGCACCACACATGCACTTTTTTTTTGTTGTATTATTAAATCTCACCAACAAATAATATTACAAATACATAATGATTTGCAGTCTTTCAACATTTTAGTACTTCCTGTTGTTGAATGGGTGGCTGTTATTGCAGTATTGCGAAGGAAGTGAGGGCCCATAGATACAGATAAGAATTTATTTTCCAGAGACAGGCTATGACTAATGTCGACTAAAGAGAAAGTTCACACTAAGTTACAAAAAATATGTCACCACTTTATTTTAGGGTCCATTCACAAACAGTCAATTAGCAGCTGATCTGTATATATTGGTTAATCTGGTGTTAATTCATTTTTAAGTATGATTACATTTAAAGACGCACTGTGTAACTTTTCTGGTGGAGGGCCTCTCAAATGCTTGTCTCCTTGGAAATGTTATTACTTTGTCTAGAATGTTTCGAAGTATGGCATTAACTTTTCTATCTCCATGGAAACCAAAACAGACCATATTACAGGTCAGATCTGTGGAAAGGCGACTCCACTCAACTCACAGTGAGAATGTCTGTTTTTCTTGGTATTTTTGAGCTATAAAACCACCTGTAATTGAATAAATGTAAGGTAAAACTGTTTAAAGTCATACTGTGAAACATTCCAGGCAGAGCAATGACATTTCCATAGAAACAAGCAGGTGACAGACCCACAACCGTAAAGTTACACAGTGCAACTTTAAGTATGACAATAGGAATTTTTGTCCATGAATTATGACATTGATAAAGATGTTGTTAAGGGCCAGAACCACGAGTCATTTTTACCTATTTTTGCTTCTCTATGTACAAACTAAACACTATTAATTAATTAGCAATAATAAAAAATGTATTAATAGGAATATATATCAGTATAATATACAAAATTAATGTGCGTAGCTGAAGTTAAAGTGTTTCCAAAAACATAATGGTGACATAGTGGACTTGAACTTAAAGGGACAGTCAGGCTCAAAACTGTTCTGTTTGCTGCACAAGACTGAAAAGGTTTTCATTTTTCATTCTGCACTTTTCTCTCTCACTTAAAGGACAGTTTGGAATTTTGGACATAGGACCTCATTTCCTAGTGAGCCAGAGTGTTGGAGACATGTGGAGACACTTTTTAAATATTCCATCCAGTCCTTGTATTTGCAGAGGTCACTGGTGTTAGACTAGTCAATGGTCATAGTTATCCTGCCACTAAAAACAGTTTTACCCACTCCACAAAATACCCAAGGCAAAACAAATGTCTGTGTCGATAGAATCAATAGAAGTTGGTTTCAAGTAGAAGTAAAACCAAACTTTCATTTGAAGGATTTTATGTCTGAACAGCAGCAGAGAGTTGTACTTCCTGATAGAAAGTTTGGCAGCAGCAGACTGATATATGAGAAAATAGTCCCTCAACATGTGACAGTTCATACGATGCAAGGTTAGTTTTATTCCAAACATTATTCTATCAACACAGACATTTACATGGACAGTCTGGTGCAATAATAGATTTGCTTCGGGTGTTTTGCGGAGTGGGTAAGACTGTTTTTAGTGGCAGGATGCACTAGTGTAGCACCAGCGACCTCTGAAAATACAAGGACTGGATGGAATATTTTATAAAAGTGTCTCCACACGTCTCCAACACTCTGGCTCACTAGAAAATGAGGTCCTATGTCCAAAATTCTGTACTGTGCCTTTAATGGTGATGGAGGGAATTGGCGTGGACACATGAACCAAAAAATACAATATAAAACTACGTAAATAACAGAAATCCAAAAATAATGGTCATAAATTTAACCCATGACAGTAAGTTACTCATGTGATGTTAAATGTAGTACCTCACCCAACCACTATCTTACTTTACTTGTACAAATCTATAACATATTTGACAAAAAAAATCGCCATTTTTGCTCCTTTTTTGTTAAAGTTTACTTATTTTCCATTTAATTATTTTTGAGCTACTGTCCCCAATTTACTTTAATTGTGGATCTGTTTATTTTATTCATTTTATTTATCTATTTATTACAAAATTACAAACTATACGGTAAAAACAAATGTAAATGGAACACCTGTGAAGCAGTTTTATCTTGTATATACAGACAATACACACTATATTTACCTACCTCTAATTCATTTTAAAACCTTTCCTAATACTACAAGAGCCTAAAAAAATGTTTGTCTAAATCTAACAGTAAAAAGAACGACAAATGTGAGTAAAATAAATACAGCTATATATACCAGTACAGCCTGCAGCTTTGTATGTGTGCATGAGAAAGAGTGTTAAAAAAAAGTGAAAAGTGAGTGTGTACAAAATAAAAAGTGACATAAGAAACAGTGTTTTGTTGTAAAAATAATTCAGGACTAGGATTTTGTGTTGAAAGGAGAGGCAACATAAAGAACCAGATCACTGAAACGGTCAGGATTAAAACTTTATAATCAGAATAATGACCCGAATAAAAGAATGATCACAAGTTTGTCTTTTCACAGGGACGAGTTCAAACGGCGAAGAGGAAGTCACTTACTCAGAAGTCCGAAGAGGTGAGAAGTACGACTGTAAAAATAGTTTTAAAGTCAAAAGCATCAGTTTGTCTTCATTTTATTTTTTACAAACACACAGTTTTTGGTTTGTTTAAATGACAGTAGGCTGCCTAGTACAAGAGATTTCAGCATCAACTTTTCTTTCACATGTTGAGAAAATAGACATTATTTAGTTTAATCCGACCTGAGATGACTGAAGGATTACACAGGTTTAGCTGTTAGTAAATGCATCTGAACAGGAATTGCATAGACGTCATATTATAAATGCAGATATTCATTGTATTTTTTGGTTTGTAAATTATAGTCTGCATAGTGCAATTACAGTAGATGTTTGCATCAGTTTGTCTTTCACATCTAGACAAAACGGACTTGAGTCGTTTGCGTAAGAGAGTACGGTGAGAGTAGAGCAATGACAGAAGTATCACAGAGAAACAAGGAAGTTTCACCAGAGTTAAATATAGAAGTTAAACACAGACAAAACTTCATTTCATGCAGTACCAGTCACAAGTTTGGATACACCTCATTTGTTTGTTTGTTATCTTTGTGACTGTACATTAGTTTCTCACTAAAGGCATCAACACATGTAGAATGATGAACATGTAGAATGTAGTGTAAAAACAAGTCATAACTACAAACTTGTAGGGCTGGGCAAAAAAAAAAAAAAAGAATCACATTAATCGCGTGAGTTCCTGTTTTTCATCATTAATAATCGCATGTTATATGCAAAGCAAATTAATGAATTAAAAAGTAGCGTATAGCGCACTTTTATTGGAAATGTAAATGAAAGTGCCACACATCTGTTGTGCAAAGCATTTCTTTACACAGGAGCAGGGCACTAGTCTGTCACTAGTCTAGTCTAGTCACTAGATCATGTTTATACTTCTTCCTCTGGAGAATCTTACTCAAAAAAAGAAACAATTTCAGTGCAGTTTGTCAATTCCTAGAATTTGACTAATGAATTGAATTCAAAAGTAAAGTGTATGTGATCAGCAGCAGTAAAATAAAGTATTCAGGGTAAATCTTAACTGAAAAAATCTAATCAAACCAAATACAAAACTGAAATGTACTGGCACTGAATGTTGTCCTCTTTTATATAAAAATTAGACTCTCAGTCAAAAACAGTAACCAGAAAACAGTACACATAACCAGAAAACACTTTCAGTGCAGTTTGTCAATTCCTAGAACTTTTTTTTTTCCCCCCCTTTCCTGAACAAAGCAAGTTGTTAAGGCACAGAAGATTGTTATTATTATTAAGCACCGGTTTCTAGTGAAAGAAAAGTGAGACCAGGGGAGGGGGAGTTGCAACAAAAAGCAGTGGACCACGCGGTGGGGCCCCGCAAGCACTTGGTGCCCTGTGCACTGTATGTTTATGTGTGTGTGCAGAGCGATGGCTCTGACATGTTGCATCTCACGTGGTTGGCTGAAGCCTCGCTCCCTTTTGTTTATTGAATGATTTGCCGAGTGTGTTGCATTTGCATGTGTCGCAGACTCGTCAAACTCTGGTGATAAGACGGTTCAGTGTTGCAGTGTTACAAATGACTTTGGCTGAGTCGACTGCGCCGTCTGGAAGAACTTTAAAATGAAAATGGCTGTGTAAAAGTTTCGTCTTCCCGCTTTCTTTCTCTCTGTTTTCTGTGAGCGCCGCAGCAGTAAGAAACATTCTAGGCTCACTCACGATGAAAAAAGCCAGTGAGCAACAGACGTTTACGATAAAACATAAATAATTATAAAAACTGCATTAAGGAGAGAAAAATAAATGTTGGTGATAATGAATTAATTAGTTAACCCAAAATTAACGGGTTAACGGGTTACAAACTTGAGGCTCAATTTCATATCGCTCCAGCGACTAGGCCAGGAATCAGAATACACTAGACGGTTTGCAAGAACCCCGGAAGTTGTAGACTACGTGCCAGCCAGTCAGCAGAGTTGTGAAGCCATGACGTCAAACTCAAGCACCTGTCTGGGTCCCTTTTGTGGTACAGCACAACAGTAACATTCTGTTATGGCAACGATTCCTGAGATTGAGGATTCAAAGTCGGAGCAAAGAGAATGTTTGGTGAATTTTATGTTATTGCTCTTCTTCCTACGGGATTTGGCGCATTACATACGTCACGACCAAATATCAGCGATTGGTTAAATAAAAAAAAGTACCTGTCTACCGTTGAGCGAACGAATCCAAATGCTGCGAGATCAGACTGTCAGACTGGTGCCTCCACATCCACACGTCTCCAACACTCGGGCTCAGTAGGAAATGAGGCCCTATGTCCAAAATGCCGAACTGTCCATTTAGCACTTATTTTGTGAAACCCTATTAACATATAGAACAAGATACAAGACAGCAGAACATATATTTACAGAAAAAAAACAAAACTCATCTTTAATCTTTTATGAGTGCAGGAAAGAAGA